TGATACTGGCTGCTAATCCCATGGCCCAGCTTGACATTGTCTCTTAGCAACGTCCTGTCCTTTTCCCCTTTTCATTCTTGTGCCTCTAATGACACTTCCTTTTCTCCAGTTTCTCTTCAGCCTCTGGCTTTCACGGCCCCTTAAGCCTCGTTTACACAGGGAGAAGCAGGAGCTAAAGGCCCTGTGCACATATTTATGTTAATAGTACTGAGGGGAGGAACAGCCTGTTCTGGGGGCTGCTTTCCAACTGTCACATAAATCAGTCAGAAAAAAAAAAAAAGTTACTATTTTCACAAAGACACTGCCAGAGTGGAGCAGCAGGTCTTGGCAATACTTCATCTCCCACTGACCCCGCCTTCTCGAGTGTGCCTTCTGTAATGTCTCCCTCGGTTGTCAGAAAGCAGGGGATGAAGAATTTCATAGACATGGAGGATTTCCAAGTCAGAAGGGACCTTTGAGATCATCTAGTGCTAAATCACATGGAAACTTCTGGTAAATACCTCTGCCTAGGTCCTTTCCCCCACAGATTCTGGGGCCATTGTTTGGACGTGAGGTACAGGCAAGATTTTTAAAGCTTTCCAGGTGACTCTAATGGGCAATGAGGGCTTGGAGTACTGATGTAGTCATAGTCCCATGAAGAGAGAGGCCCACACTTCCCTCAGATCATGTGGGGAGTTAGTGATACAGAGCAGCCCCGACATCACACTTTCTTCCGTGATGCCATGTCATCGCAAAGTTCCGGGGTCGAGCTGCGGAAATACTAGACGGTGGTATTATTAGAGTTGTGCATCCAAATCACTTGCGAACTCTTTTAAACTTGCTTTCACCTCTCCTTGCTCCTCCCAGAGCAACTGAATCTCTTGGTGGAACCCCAGCACACAAATTTTGAAAAAGCCCTGGGTGGCAATTTTGACACGTATCCCAGTCCAAGAACTAGTCAGGTCCATCAAATATTAACTTGTGGTTCCTTGGACACGTTACATGACCTCTTTGACCCTCAGTGTCTTCATCTGCAAAATGGGGCTCCATACCTAATCCTCATTCTTCAGTTTTGTAGTTCAAGTCATTTCTCCTAGAAAGCCATGAATAAGCTTTCAGAGGAAGCCATTCACCCACCTTCCCAGGAAATTCTTTGTTGGAGAACACCCTAAACTTCTCCTTTGTAACACTGACCATAGTTCATTGATCAAATAGTATGAACCTTGACACATTGTTTTTGAATGAAGGAATAAATACTTGATAATGATTAAATATATGTGTAATGGATTACTCGCTCTCTGTCTCCACCACCACGGATGAGCTAAGCGGTTGAGCTCTTATTCACGGTTGTGTCCACTGTGCCTGGTGTAAGGCTAGCATTCAACAAACTTTGGCTGAACAAAGAAGAAGCTGAGCAAATGACTGATATCTCGGAGGCACCTGGCACATACCCACAGTAAATGGAACATGCAACAAAATGTTAGCTATTACAACAATTACCTTCAGATAGGCCCAGTGTCCTGCCTGAAGGCACACAACAGAGCTGAGACTTGAAATCCGTTTTCCGGACTGCCAGCCTCATTTTTAATCTGTGATGTCCATCTGCCTTAAGGTTTTCATATGGTGGGAGGGAACCAGGAAAAAGTGGCAGGCTGTGTTTGCCCACTAGAATGAGCTGGAAACCCAGTGGGTTCTTGCACACTTCCAGCCTCCACTCTGCAATCCATGCATGCACACACATTTGCAGACAATGGTGACTCTGGGCAAGGATCATTGTGGTCTTTCTCTTGAGAATGCTTTGGATCATAAACTGCTTGAGAGCAGTAACCGTAGTTTTGGCTTCCAACAGAAGATAGACCCATGAGAACTCTATTATTTGTTCATGACAGATTTGAGGTTGCAACATTGTATTGATCCCCACACCATAGGTCCAAATACCTGTGATGATCCCCGGATTTCCCCACTGGCCTTCCTGCTGGGATGGGGGGAAGCTGGTGACTAGAGGGGTACAAGGAAGAGGTGAAATTCACATTATTGGCTGCATATGCATACATTACAAGAGGGAGTTCAGAATAAGACTAGGGGTGGGTGTTTCTGAAAATAACTCTGGATGATCCCCGTCTTTCTGTCTACACTAGCATGGAAAGTAAGTGCTTTTCAAATTTTCATTTTAATAGCTTTCTTTTAGTTAGACGTTTCTGCATTCCAGATGTTATGCCAAGTACTTTATAGACAGAATATCATTTCATTCTCCTGACTCTGAGCGGTTGAAATCATCACTGTCAGTATTTTGCAAAGGAGAAAACTGAGGCTGAGAGTAGTTTGCTAAAAACTACAGTCACCAGGATGAGCCAAGACCAGCACTGGAAGTGGGCCTGATGGCTCTGAGACCTTAATTCATTTGCCAAATATTTACTGAACAGTACTATGGGCCATGTTGTTTTCTACATGCAAAGTATATATTATAGATGAAGGCCAAAGTCCTTGTGGGACTTGAGTTCTGTCTGGAGGAGACAAACCATAAATAATGAACCTAAACATGCAATAAATTATGCGGTCTGTTAGAAAGTGATGGTGCTGTGGGAAAACTAGGGCAGTGCAAAATGATGGGAAGGGGATTGGAGTTATGTGTGGAGTGTGGGGGAGAGTGTCTGTGATATAAGTTTGTTACTTTAAATAGGGTGATCAAGACAAGCCTCAGTGACAAAGCCACATTTGAGGAAATAAGGAAAACTTTAAAAAGTTCTAAACTATGCTGTGTTCATTCTGCTCCCTCCCCCCAAACAAGGGGATGGATGGATGAGCAAAGCACTAGTGATTCACACTGCAACGTCTCAGATGTGGTGCTAAGTGTTTATCTACAGTGTGTCATCAAATCCTCGCGATGACCCTGTGATCATGATATCAACTCTGTTCTTCAGCTGTGAAAATAGAGACCCAGAAAGGATACAAAATATTGTCCAAAATTATTTAGTGCCTAAGTGATGTGACTGGGATTTCCACTTAGCTCCTCCAACTCCAAAGCCCATGCTCTTCTGACGACCGCGATGCTGATGAAGAGTGTGCAGTGGCAGGGTGGGGAGTGCGGTGAGCAGGAGGCACAGCACTGAGCTCATCCCTCACTTGAGAAAGTTACCCTGCATCATTGCCCACAAGGACAGGGCTGCTCTGAGGCTGGGTGCTCCCGTGGTGGTGTAGATAGCATGGTTGGCTGTGGAGTGCTCTCCCAAGTCATATCTCTAACATAGGTCCTCTTTTTTTTCCCCCCTATGTGGTTTGAAATCTATTTCTTTAGCCATTGGAACAGACAGATGTAAAGAAGCAGTTCCTGAAGAGCTATCCCATCAGCAGATATCAGAAAACTCGTTTTCTCAAAACTCCCCAGGAAGGCTTTTCTTCCACGGAGGACCAGTGGCACCCCAGGCACAGCAGGCCAGAGGCTCAGCATCTTTCTAGGGTGCTTTCATAAACTTGATGGGCTCTTGTTCTTGAATGAGCAAGTGTGGCTCTCATAAATGATCTCCACTGAGTCTGGCTTCATTTGCTCACACTGCAGTTCCTCTTTCCCATGGAGATGAGTAGCGCAATAGTCTAAGGGGACTTATTTGCAGAATGCAGGTCTACCCAGCCTACAATGTACTTTGTCTCCCTCCAGGATCATGAGGCTGGTGACAGATTCATGCCAAATGATATCCATTTGGAAGGATACAAGCAAAAGAGGCGGGCCACTCGAGTGACTTTGATCACCCAATAACCAGCCTACAGAGACAAGGAGGAATGTGTTAAAAATGATTGACGTGTGCGTGCTTTGAAAGCTAGGAGCACCATGAGATATACTCTGGAGATCATGAGGAAGAGAAGAAGGATGCTAGAGTTCTTTCTGGGAAGCCCAGAGTTTCCCAGCCTCTGTCCATCCTTGGCCCCAAGCCAACCCAAAAGCACAGATTCTGTCCTTGGCACCCACTGTACATGCATGTATCGAATGTTCATATATAATAATGACAACTAGTATTTGTTAACACATTTTTATGTTTTGAAAGCATAACTCATGGGCATTTAGGTGTCTTATCGCACTGAAGTGATAAAACAACCCAGTTACTGGGATGTGATGATTTAAAGACCTTTTTTTTGCAAATGAAGAAAATGAGGCAGCGAAAGTTCAGTGACTTCTCAAGGTCAGAGCTGGTGAATGATGGGAGTATAACTCAAGCCCCCGGGCCTTGAGTCACATTCTCCTGTTTCTCCTCCCTGACTAGGAAAGAGTGTTTGGTACCACATTCATTCATGACAAGAACAGTAGAATCACACTGTACCTGTCTCTCTCTCCTTCCTGTGTCTCTGCTTACACAGGGTCTCTAGTTTCTCTTCTCCTCTCCCTTCCCCTTCCATTCCTTTCCCTGCCCTGCCCTGCTCTGCCCTGCTCTTTCCTTCCTGTCTCTCTCCCTGCCCCCCTCCTCCCTCCCTCTTTCTCTCTCTTTCCCTCTTAACTTGGATTTAAATGTGGTAAATGTGCAGAAAAGCTCCATTACAAGGTGGTCTCACCTACAACATGATTCTGGGAGAGAAAGCCCAAGAGGGGCACTGCAATGAAACTTAGTAAGTTACTTTGGAGCCTGAGCTGGCTGCATGCACTGTTGCCTCACAGGAGGTGAAACTCTCATGAGATGTAGCATCTCCTAACACCTAACAGTGTGGGCTCACATGGAGGGTGAAAAGATCCAGGTCACTCAGAGTCAAGGCCAAACCCCTAGTCCCTCAGGGCCCTTCCTAGTGAATCCTTCATATTCATCACACTTTGATGCAGTTGCCTACCCAACATCTGTCTCCCCACTTGACTGAGGTATGTAGGGCATAAGGACTGTAAGAACCGTGTCTGCTTTGTTAGCACTGTCCCCTTGGTTCATAGCACAGTGTCAGGCCTTGCCTTGAGTAAGCTCTCACAAATATGTGGGGAGTAAATAAATGAACGAATAATGAAGGACCGATGGAATAACAATAGCTTAATATGTCATTCTCTTCAGGAGCACTTGCATTTTGAACGAAGATTCTAATCAAGGATGCCTCTCAAGCACATGAGAATTCTCACATGGAAGGAATTCCACCTGGAAGGCCCATTCTGGAGTGAGGGTGATAAGGAGTGCATCTTTCCAGCATTTCTCAAATGGTACCCAGCAGTTACCTTGATATTAAATCAGTCTCACCACCAAACCTAAGAGTGGGTGGACCTCAATGAACAGGGATTTTGAAGCTGAGAAAAAATTTTTTAAAAAGGCAGCTGGATTTGACTTCATTCCACCCAGATGTCCTTTCTGTGAGCCTCTGATTATTCTATCCTGAATGTGAAGCAAACATGTAGAGGTCTTGAGTCACAGCCTAGAAGGCCAAATTCTTATGGGACAATAAAAATCTGAACCAAATGCTGGCCCTGCTGGGTCCGTCTGTTATTGGAATTAAGTGCCCCTTTTCATTTTATTCAAACTGAAGAAACTTTCTGGCAGGGTGTCAGGTTTCAAACAGAAACGTCAGCCAAGGACTCATGAGGCCAAGATCCTAGCAAACTTGAATCAATTTATGCTTTGGGTAAAACTTCATATGGAATTTAGTGGTCTGGTGGGTCCATTTATTAAATGTTCTTCATTTGCATGTCCTGGACTAAACCCCTGCATAGAGCTGTGTATAAAATTAGCCTCAGAGACCAAAGTAATCTCTTCTACCCAAAGTGAGGATACCTCTGTGGATGAGTGTGAAGGACATTGCAGAGTGATTTTCATCACCAAGAGCAGAAAAGAATGGGAACATGTCCCAAGCTTGATTCAAATGTTGATCTGATACAGTCAAAATTAACCCTATTTGTAATAATAACAACAATAACATTTATTGAAAGTTTAATACATGCCAGGTTCTATGCTATGCACCTAACATTTATTGACCCATTAATCCTTCTGATGATTCTACCAAGTAGGTTTTATTATTGGCTCTATAGCATAGAAAATGAAACAAAGAAAGGGAGGTTCAGAAAAGTGCCCAGCTTTCAAGACAGCAAAGGTCAGGATTGAAAGCTGGACCGTTTGCCTTCAGAACTTTTGCCCTTCATGTTGATCAGGGACTGGTGGGGTAATGAATCCAACAGGCATTAATATAAGTAAGATGCTTATGGCAGATTTAATTGGAATTTTATACCCCATCTGTCATTTTTTAGCACCCTATTTTGGTGGTGAACACAGATGAACCACACAGTAGGACTTGGTTTTCTCTTCCGTTGTTGGTATAAAATGAAAGCACTGGGATCATTAACTGAAAAATCCCGTCTTCAAATGTTTTTGCTTTGTACCGACACACTGAAACGGGTCAAGATGCCCAGTGTTCTCTGGGACGTTGAAGAAATGTTTAAGTCACTTTTTTGCACTCTTAGCATGGGATGGAGATACAACCAGGGACTGTCTAGGACTCCAGTGGCTCTGAAGATCAGAATGATCAGAATGATCAGAATGAAGCACAACATGGCCAAAAGGAGATGCCGTGATGGGAGACTGGCAGGCCTCACCCATCTGCTAAATGATTCACAACTATACACTTGCTCTTTGCATCAAGCTTGAATCAAACCAAATCTAATCAGCAAATATATGAAAAGATGCCCAACTCCAGCAATATGGATGGAAATGTAAATTAAACTATATTTTTCACACATCATTTTGGCAAAAATTTACAAGTTTGATAATATCAATCATAGCAGTATTGGTGAGCGGAAACAGGTCTGTTCTGCTGATGAAAGTGTGAATTGGAACAGCCATCCTGTAAAGCATTTTGGAAGTATTAAAAATGTATACCACCTGTGAGCTAGCAATTCTGTTTTATATATATTTATAAGAATGTTCATTGCATCATCATTCATGCTATCAAAAAGTTAAAAATAGCTGAAATGTAATACATCCAAACCATGGAAGGTTATAGAGCTCATAAAACGATACATATTTATGTACTAACAATAAAAAATGCTTAAGACATACTGTTAATTTGAAATATCCACACAGCATGGTATTATCCAATGATATTACTACACCCCTCCCCCCCACTGAAAGAAATGGAAAAACACACACCAAAGGGCACCTAGGTGGGTCAGTCTGTAAAACACCCTACTCTTGGTTTCGGCTCAGGTCATGATCTCAGTATTGTGAGATGAGCCCTGAGTGTGCTGGGGTCTGTGCTCTGAGAGGGTCTGCTCAAGACACCTGTCCCTCTGCCCCTCCCCCACGCACATGCGCCCGAGTGCTCTCTCTAAAATAAATAAATAAATCTTTAAAAATAAAGAAAAATACACACCACGCTCAGATTAGATTAGCCCTGGGGAAGCTCTAGGATCAAGAGCAGTGGTCACAGGTTCTGTGTTAGGCACCGACGATATTTTGTGATCAAGAAAACACAAAAATCCTTGCAACCATTATACCTACGTTGCAGCATTACTGTTTTGTTAGGCATGTTTTTAGAACAAGAACGTACTTACATATGACTTGTATAATTAAAAATAAGTAAAAATAAAAGCAAATTTAAATGCACACTTTTTTATTAACAAAATTTCAAGTGACCACTTTGGCCTTTGAGAGCCTTTCAAATAGTTCCAACCATAATTGTGTATTGGTGATTGCCATGTGGCTAATGTAATTCCTCGAATGGCCCCCTTGGATGGTTGGCACAGACAGGGTACAGTGATAATCACACATAGCACAAGGACTCACACAAAGGTCCAATCTTTCTATGAGCATTTTTGGGACATCATTAGGCACAAAGTAGGAGTAAACCCCAATCTGATTACACCTATAGTCACCAAAAGACATAGTCTTAGCACCACTCTTCATAATAGCCCCAATCTGGAAACCACCTAAATGTCTGTCAACAGTTGAAAAGATAAATAGTGTGCTATATTTACAGAAAAATATTATACAGAAATGAAAATCTATGCATTATAACTACATGCAACAATATGGAAGAATCCTCCTGACATGGCGTTGAATGAAGGAATCCTTTTGTGAGAGTAACACACAACCTAATTCCATTTGTATGATCTTCAATAACAGGCAAAATGACACGTGACACCAGAAAGCCAGAAAGCAGGACAGTGGTTATCTTTGGAGGGGAGCAGCAGCTAGGGTGCATTATGGAGGCTCCAGGGTGTAACGGAGATGTTCAGCTTCTTGCCCAGGTTATATGGGTACATCTCACTTATGAAAATTTGTCGAGTTTTACAGTTATAATTTGTGACTTCCTTAATAAGTATATTCTACTTCCGTCAATCATTTACCAAAAGAAAAAAATTAAAACCTAAAACCCTGAAATCTAATCTGTTTCATGAATTTCATCTGGGGCAAGTCAGTTTTAGCATCTATAAAATGGGAGAAGGATTTGCTAGCTGATCTGTAAAGGCCTTTCCAAATGAATAGTTCTGTGTAAAACCTCTTCCATTCCAATAATCAACTTCTAAAGCAACAGGAAAAAACAGGGGTCATTTACTATTTGAATTTGTAGAAGGCTTACAAAATCGCGTGTATCCCATTTTCAAAGCATTTAAAGATGCAATTAATAAACGAGAAATTCTGTCTTCCAGGAAAATGCATGGAGCCAATTCTTTCCCAAAGATAAATGTGAATATGCCAAATGCTGCTTCCGCCAAGCCTCTTCCTATCATGCCAATTCACAAGCCCTGTGATGGGAGAGTCAGCAATTACAGAGGTGGGGCCATTCCTGGTAGGAAGGAGGCAGCTACCGTGCTCACAACCTACAGCTGTTTCAATAGGCACTTCCTCTACGAGGGGAGTTGGTTTGTAATTTTCCTCTTACTGCTACTGGAAGTCCTTGAATGGCAACATCACAGCTTGTACCCATTCACAACAGGAAAGTTTGACATCCGTAGACACTCTTGGCACAAGAGGAGGAAAAGTCCAGTCCTGTGTGTCAGTTTCTATATTAGAACCAGGAAAGTAATTTCTATAGCGTAGACCATGCTGTAATCTTCACGCAAAATGTTGGGCTCCAAGCAGGGAAGCTTTTCCTATTTGTATCCAAGCCTGACAATTGCAAGGCAGGACCTCAAGGAGGGACTTGAAGGATCCCAGTAGACACCAACTAACTGTGCTGGTTCTAACCCCAAGAAAAGGTGCTTTGAAAGTGGGATACAACTTCTAGCGAATGCACTCATTGTAGGGTATGGGTACTGTTCTGTCTAGGAGAGCTGAGCCTCATGTGAAGGGTGGGTACTCCGAGAAACGCTGAATTTAGCAGCTGAAAATAGGTAAGCACAAAATCTGAGAGGGGGCTTAGGGCATCTAGATCAGCTCTCCTCAAATGATCACAGGTGAAGAGCCAGTTTTGTTATTTGATTTCACTTCGTTTGGTTAATTATTTCTAAGCACTCACTGGTCAATACATTTTAAAAAAATACAATAAAAATGAATATTTGAAAATGGAAGAAGGAGACAGGCAACATAGAAGCCCCGATTTCTGATGACTAGTTTCAACAGAAATTATTCTGTTCAATGGCTAGAAAGGTTCATAAATGCTTTCTTGTTGATCTGGGTGCTAGTCAAATGTATTTAGTTCATGAAAATGTGTTGATCTGTATGAAGTCTATCCACATATTTACTGCTAACACGTGGTGGTCTGCGGATTTCTGGATCATGGCTCACTGGGTGCTTTCTCATTCTCCCAAGAGTATTTTTCTTTGAGAACAGAGAATTAACACAACGGCCAGACTAGGGGAAAGGACCTGGGGACAGGATATTGTGATAACAAAGGCGACTCAAGAGGATGGAAGAACGGGTAAGAAAGTAAATTTCTCTCAGAAAACAAGATTTCGATGATGAAGCAATTTTTGGTGATGATGGTAGAAACCTGCTGTTTTCCTAAGAGAGGGCCCAAGAGCATCAGTAAACAATCAGATGAATTCTGTCTAGAAGGACACACCGAGATCTCTGCTCATTGTGTGTGACTAATCCAGATACTAATCAACAAGTATGCACCACATGGCATACTAAAGTTCTCATTCAGGTCAACGAGAGGACACTGGGCAGGTAAAGCGTCACTATTCATTTCCTACTCACAAACTGCAGATGGAAAACCGATTTTTACAGCATCAA